TTTTTTATTTATATTAGTTATACTGTATGTTATTCAATTAAAATATAATTTGACTATTATTTTCTTATCTATAGAAATTAAAACTAATTTTAATTTTTATTATGATATTAATAGTAATTTATTTATTGCATTTAAATTACATTGTATTAATGATTTATTTTTCATTTGTTATATTTTTTTTACAGTGGGTTGTTGTAGTTCTCATTGCACGGAGGCTATTGATTCCACCCAACCGCAACGGCGAAACCCATTTGACCCCCAAAGACGAGTTCAGGAAGAGGTTCCAACTGATGTGGTTCTGGAGACTTCAGCTTCAGATGCTGATATACAGGCCGAGTCTCCCTGTCACGTCCCAAAACTCGAATTCGAGGCGCGACAGACGCCGTGCACTCGTGAAAGGATCCCACAATGCACAAGGCTCGGAACTTATCCAATTCACATCTGACAATCCAATAACTTAAAATCAGATATTTCAATAATTCTATGTCCAACATGACTTAAACTTAAAATCACAAGGTAAAATCTATCTTACAAAAGCATGATTTATTTCTAAAATCTATATCAATCTCGAAATGGCTAGCCTTCTAACTCGTCACTTCCCGTGGTTTCCCCGTCCTCGGTTTCACTTCCTGAAATGGTGGACAAGGAAAAACTATGAGATAAACTCAGTAAGTAAAATATGGAGTGCTCTTAATTAAACTTGTAGCATGCCAACAAGTACAATCACGAAAACAGATACGGTACGGGAACGAAATAGACATCTCCACTATAGGTCATGGCTAGTGTATTAAACTTCCCACTGGCAGGCTACACTTGAACGAACCGGTTCTATCAATAACATGTCGACATGTGCTAGCGTTTAACCCCCACTAGCAGGATTACAATCAATAACATAACCATATCGGAGACAAAATAGGCAGAAGTTCACAGAAAATCATTCTTTACCAATCACTTTCAAATCATCAAGACAATCAATCAAATTTCAAGTAGGCATGCTCAATTTAATGAAAAGCATAAAAAATTTCATTTCAAATCAATCATACTTACTTTTGTATAAAACGAGTTTAATCCTGCCACCACTTCAAAAACAAGTCAAAACATGCTTTTAAAAAGCTTTACCTTAAATCCAGGTCATTACCATAAGTTACTTACCTCACTCACTTAAAACCAAAGGCTCAATTCACGGTGCTAACTGACAAGACGATCGGGAACCTAACCAAAACACCTTAGAATTAATACCGAACTATCACAAATTCAAGTTGAAATCATCATGACTAATCCCTAATCACGATATTATTCCTATCAATCTCCACATAACCAGACCTCTCCAAATTTATTCTTATATCACAAACTAATCATTTAAATCCCCGTTAATTGTTAACCCTCGGTGTGTGAACAGTGCCTATGAACAGTATCCGTAAACAGTGCACATGAACAGTAAAGGTAACTTATGAGCAAAATGGTCACAAACCCTCTTAAACCCGAGTCTAATCAATAGATCAATCCCTAATTTCACTCAAAAGCTCCTAAATTACATTTATCCATCAACCGAGAAAACCCAATTTGGATTTCTACTTCCACAGACAGAAAAATGGAAGAACATGACTTGTATTCAATCAATTGTCTTTTGCAAAACAATACCTAAGACACAGGATTTCCTCCAGAAAATTCACAGCAGCCAAATCAAGCAATTTATACTTAACCCAAGCTTAAAAACACATTTTATTCTACCCACAATTATCCCATAATTCTGGCGGGATCTCGGACAACACAGAGCAACTAATTGGACAACAATTAATTGATAAATTCGAACTTAAAAGGGCCGTCCATACCAGAATTTTCCAGCTAAAACCAGAGCTGCAGGGAGAAGAAGAAGCCGATGGCAAGTTGCAGGGGAACTTACGGACTAGCCAAAAATTGGAGAACCAAAGTTAACTCAAGCTAAATCAAAGTTAAAGAGATGAACTTAAAGTTGGTTCTTACCAAAAATCCCGAAGGATTCACACCCAGCAAAACAGCAGACAGACCAAGGGAAGAAACAGAGCAGATCTGAAATTCCCACTTCAAAGGGAGGGTTCTAGGTCCTAAAATCAGTTCTTTAACAAGAAAAGGAAGGGAAAAATCAAGCTTGTTACCAATTTTT